TTTCATTTAGCCTGATGTTTTCAAGGTTCACCCATTTGTAGCATGTATCAGTACTTCATTCTTTTTTCCTGCTGAATAATGTTCCTTTGCATGGGTGTCATACATTTTGTTTATCTGTTCATCAGCTGATGTTCTGTTGAGTTGTTTCCACTCTTTGGCTATTATGAATACTGCTGATATGAACACTGATGTACAAGTTGTGTGTGGACATATGTTTTCGGCTCTCTAAGGTGTATACGTAGCATTAGAATTGCTGGGTCATAAGGTAACTCTATGTTTAACTTTTTTGAGGAACTGCTAAGTTGTTTTCCAAATAGGCTTAACTATTTTACATTCCCACCAGCAATGTACAACAGTTCTGATTTCTCCAGATCCTTACCGACACTTGTTATTGTCCATCATTTTGATTTTAGCCATCCTAGTGGATATGAAGTAGTATTAATTATGGTTCCAGGGGCATTTCCCAAAGTCAGTGATGTTGAATACCTTTGCATGTGTTTATTGGGCATGTGTATAGTGTCTTTGGAGAAATATCTTCAGATCCCTTGCCCATTTTTAAATTGAATTCTCTTTTTATTATTGAGTTGTAAGGGTTCTTTATATATTCTGGATATAAGTTCATTGTCAAGTATACAATTTACAGATATTTTCTCACATTCTGTGATTTGTCTTTTCATTTTCTTGGTAGTATGCTGTGAAACACAAAAGTTTAAAATTTTGATGATGAAGTACAATTTATTTTTTCTTTTGTTGCTAGTGCTTTTGGTGTTGTACCTAAGAAACCATTGCTCACTTAGGTTCATAAAGATTTACTCCTATCTTTTCTTCTGAGTGTTTCATAGTTTTAGCTCTTACGTTTAGGTCTATGACCCATTTTGACTTTTTTGTATATGGTCTGAAATAGGTGTCCAGATTCATTCTTTTGCATGTGAAGATCCAGTTGTCCTAGCACCTTTTGTTGAAAAGACTATTCTTTCCCTATTGAATTGTCTTGGTACCCTTGTTGAAAATCAATTGCCAATAAATGTGTTGTTTTGTTTCTGTAATCTCAATTCTCTTTCATTGATATATATAACTGCCCTTATGCCAGTACCATATAATCTTGATAACTATAGCTTTGTAGTAAGTTTTGAAATCAGGATGTATGAGTCCCCCAACTTGGTTCTTTTTCAAGATTGTTTTGGGTATTCTGGGTCCCTTACTTTTCCATATGAATTTTGGGATCAGCTTGTCAATATCTGCAAAAAAAAAAAAAAAAAACAAACCAACTATATTTTGATAGAGATTGTATTGCATCTTTAGATTGATTTGTTGCGTATTGCCATCTTAACAATGTTAAATATTCCATTCCATGAACAAGGAATGTCTGTTAGGTCTTCTTTAATTTCTTTCAACAGTGTTTTGTGTTTTTCAGCATGCAAGTCTTATACTTCTTTCGTTAAATACATTCCTAAGTATTTTATTCTTTTTGCTGCTATTATAAATGGGAGTCTTTTCTTAATTCCATTTTATGATTGCGCATTGCTAGTGTACAGGAATAAAATAGACTTTTGTGTGTTGATCTTGTATTCTGGTACATTGCTGAACACTTTTATTGGTTCTAATAGTTTTATAGTAGATTACTTAGGATTTTCCACATACGAGTTCATGTTATCTATGAATAGAGATTGTTTTATTTCTTCTTTTTCAACCCAGATCTCTTCTATTTCTTTTTCTTGTCTAATTGCCCTGGCTAGAACTCCAATATCAAATATAGTAGCAAGACTGGATATCCTTGTCTTCTTACTAATCTTAGTGAAAAAGCATTGTCTTTCTCCATTAAGTATGATGCACCTGTGGGTTTTTCATGGATGCTCCATGTAAGATTGGGGATATTCTCTTCTCTTCCTAGATTGTTGAGTGTTTTTATCATAGAATAGTGTGGGGTTTTGTCAAAATTTTTTTCTGGGTGTATTGAAGTGATCAGGTGATTTTTACACTTTATCCTGTTATCAACTTGAATTATTTTAATTAATTTTTAGATGTTAACCTAATCTTGCATCTCTGGGATAAATCCCACTTGGTCATAATGTATATTCCTTTTTATGGTTGCTAGATTCAATTTGTTAGTATTTTGTTGAGGATTTTTGTGTGTATATTTATAAGGAATGTGGGATTGTAGGTTTCGTTTTTCTGATACCTTGTCTGGTCTTGATAGCAGGATAATGGCCTCATAGAATGAGTTGGGAAGTATTTCCTGCTGTTTTTTTGTGGGGTGAGAGTTTGTGAAGAATTGATATGAATTATTCTTTGAATGTTTAGTAGACTTCACCAGGGAAGCCATCTAGTCCTGGGCTTTTCTTTATTGGAAGTTTTAAAGTTACAAATTTAATCTCTTGTTTAGACTTTTTCTTTCTAAATCTGTCAGTGGTTTGTGCCCTTCTAGAAATTTGTCTGTTTCACCAAAGTTATCCAATTCATTGGCGTATAGTTGATGACATTTCCTTATCATCCTTTAAGATATTTTTTGTCTTTGGTGTTCTGCACTTATACTATATACAAGTTATCCAATTCATTGGCATATAGTTCATGACATTTCCTTATCATCCTTTAAGATATTTTTTGTCTTTGGTGTTCTGCATTTATACTATAAACAATATGGCCGGGCGCGGCGGCTCATGCTTGTAATCCCAGCACTTTGGGAGGCCGAGGCAGGTGGATCACCTGAGGTCGGGAGTTCAAGACCAGCCTGACCAACATGGAGAAACCCCATCTCTACTAAAAATACAAAATTAGCCGGGGTGGTGGCACATACCTGTAATCCCAGCTACTCGGGAGGCTGAGGCAGGAGAATCGCTTGAACCCGGGAGGCGGAGGTTGCTGTGAGCCGAGATCGCACCATTGCACTCCAGTCTGGGCAAAAAGAGCGAAACTGTCTCAAAAAAAACAAAAAACAAAAAACAAACAAACAAAAACAATATGTCTGAATGTGGGCTTATTTGAAGTTTAACTTGCTGTGTGCCTTCAATCTGAGGACTAAAGTCTATCCTTAGTTCTAGAAAGTTCATATACATTATCTCTTTGAAATTTGCACCTTCCCCCGTTTCCTTTTTTTTTTTCCTCTGTGGACCTCTAAGTCTATTAATGTTTATATTTCCTATATTAATTCTTTGAATTAAATTCAGGATGATTTCTTTAGTTTATCTTTCACTTAACTAATTCTCTCTTTAGCTGTGTTTAATTTTCTATTTAACTATTGGGTTTTAAATTTCAATATTGAATATTTTATTTTCATGTATTGCTTTTTCTAATTGGCCCGTTCCTTACCCCCTTGTACTATCATCTTCTTTAATTAAGGTTTTTATCTCTTTTGTATTTCCAATCATTTAAACTATTCATCTCTAAACATCTTTTGTAGACCTATTCTTTAATTTCTAGTTCTTTGACTGCCAGTTTGTTCCATTTTCTGACTTCCTTATGATGGTTTGTTTCCTTGTGTGGTTTGAAATTTCAGATGAGATACTTCAAAGCAAGGTTTTGGAAGCGTGCACTTATTGGTGATGATGAGGTCTAGGGCATAGGAGACGTGTGAGTGGATGGCTGTGGTGGGGTAGAGGAAAAGACTGTTGGAAGGCTCGTCCCCCAGTGCCTCACGTGTCTGGCTGCTTCTTACAATACAGGTCTCTGCTCTAGAGTCACCTCTTTAATGCCTTCCCAGGCCTCCCTAGCTAGTGGAAATTCCCATCTCTCAATCACACTCTGTTTTCCCTCCTCTATTTTTTTCATAGCACTTAAACATTTTCCAAAAATGTGTTAGTTATTTGTCTACCTTTTTGTGGCCGTCTTCCTCACTGGAATGTAAGCTCCATGAGAATGAGGATTTGTCTTATTCACTGCTGTGTCCCTAGCACATGGCACATGGTTTATACTGTCAATAAATGTGAGTGAATTTGAGTAGTCTTCTTTTCACACAGGAAGTCATCCCAGCCATGATTCTGAAGCTTTCTTCTGGGCTGGGTATGACCAGGCAGCAGAGAGGAGGTGAACAGCTTGGCCTTCCCTTCCCAAACTTAATACCTGTGCTCCCATTGGGGATGCCTTTTTTCCCCAGCACAAAAGCCCCCCAAATACCATCCATCTTGTGTGCTTCCGCCTTCTTCTGGCACGTTTTCACACAGTGGCCAAAATGAGAAGTAGGGGTTTGAGTGCCAGAGGACCTGGGGGAAAAAAGAGCACAAAACGCTGGAAGACCTGGTTCTTACCTCTAAGAGGTTGTTACTGAGTTGAGGCAACAGAACACTCAGAGAAAACAGCTTGGAATACTTGCTACTCACTGAGACCCCCTTGCAGGTTGGTACCCCCACTGCAAGAGTGTGTGGGTAGAGAAGGAAGGCCTGTGTCTTGGGGTTGTCTACTGCTGGTTACATACCATTTCTGGAGGCATCTACAGGTGAGTTATGAATTCCCAGGTGAGTTCATTTTGGCTCCTTTCTGAGGTTGCCCCATACTCTAGGAACTTGTTGTGAGCAAAAAGTGTTACTTACAAGCAAAAAGTATGTGAGAGCATTCCTAGGAATGGTGAGAGATGGCCTTCTTTGCTCATCTCTCGGACCCTGTGGGAGGTTGTGGAGAGACTGGTGAAAGGCACAGGGACTGTGGATTCCAGCAAACCCTGGCTCCCCCACTTCCCTGACTGTATGGCCCTGGGTACTGGAGTGTTGTGAGAAGATTATGTAGAGAATGTGTTTTGCCTTATGTCTGGTATACTCGAATAAGTGCTAGCTGGGGTTATTTCAGCCAGGTATTTGGAAAGCCACTTGTGCCTCAGTTTCCTGATCTGTAAAATAGGGATGGCCACCTGCCCATCCTCTCTGCCGCCACTATTGTGAGGGCAGAAGGGTTAATTATCTTTCAGCCTCGAGGGCCTGGGGTGGGGGAGGTGCTGCATAAACAGAGCATTGTTGTGCTGGTGAATGATCTGGCTTTGTTCTGGAGTCTTCAGTATGTGACTTCCTGCAGTTAGTATCCCCTGTGCTTAATTACTGGAGGTTTGTGCAGGTCCTCAGCCCTGTGGCCCTCACCTCCCAGGGCTGTGGCCTGGGTCTTTACCAGCGGGGACCTGCAGAATTGTGTCGGGAAGTTGCATTTCCTGGGCTAGGGCCCCCCAGCAATCAGGAATGAGAGAAATGCAGAAAGTATGACCCACACGCGGAACTGGTTCTGAATAGAACGTTTATTGACGAAGTTTTGCAGGAGGCGGCGGGCGCTTTAATTCCCGAGGCTGTTGGTGGCAGCTCACTGCTCACCCCAAGCCTGTTAACTGCTGGGCTGCCAGTGCTGGGGACAATGCGGCTGCCCGGCCCCTTGCCACCCTCGTGGTGCCCGGATGGGAGCCCTCCTGAGGAAAGCGGTAGGTACCCGGCTGGGGCCAGGCCAGGGGATAGGAATGGGGTGGGATGGGGACTCTTTCAACTCCGGGCCTCTAAGCCTTGCCTGACTTCCCCCAGGAAACCCAGCCAATCACAGGCGTTGGGGTAAAAGGCAGGTTTTTCCCTGTGGGTTAGACACTGAGGACCATAAAGGGAGCAGGTGTAGGTGAACCGCTTTTCTTAGTGAACTGTCATGTGGCTGGGTGACAGCAAGACAGTCCTTTTGGTTCTGCCGGGGGCTTCAGGGGGGCTTCTCGTCTTGAACATTTGGAGTTGGGTGGTTAGAGAAGGTCATGTAGGACCCTACACACACACACATACACACACACACACACACACACACAGACACACACACACACACACACAAAAGCAGTTAATTTCCCACTTCTTCCTGATGTTTCCTTTTCCCAGAATCCACAGAGGGTGGTTGTTTTGGATCAAACCAAGCGGCAGCTGGTAGAGCAGTTGAAAGGAGGTTATTCCCCTGCCCTGTCTCCTCCCCAGTGGGCAGCAGACCCCGATCCTGACCCTGGTACCCACCATTTCATAGCTCTGAGCAGCAGGTGCGTGGAGGTCGGGGCAGATCGATCCCAAATCAAGGCCTCACTTTTCCAGGAGCAGAGGCTGCTTCCCGGGCCGTGTCTCTACACGTGTGCACCCCAGAGTTGGGATTGGGTAATACTGCCCCACCGGTCTGAATTCTGGTCCATGTATCCTCCCAGCTGAGGCAGGAAGGTGCCCCTCCTCTACCCAGGAACTGGTTGGATGAGTTTCTTAGGCCTCTCTGGTGAGGTCCTTTAGAAGGGGAAGTGGGGAACACAGGGGAATGGGGGAAGGAGTTATGGGTGGAGAGGAGCCCCCTGGGCTCTGTAGGATAGGGGAAGTGTGTGAGGCCCTGCTGGCTGAAGGGCTGGCCGCCTTTGGGAATTTGCGTGTGTGTGCGTGCGTGTGCGTGTGTGTGTGTGTAAGAGTCCATAAGGTCTGCTTTGGAAAATCCACTTTCCTAACTTCTCTGGGTCAGGCACCAAGCCCAAGGTCAGAGCCCAGGGCAAAGAAAGGGGGTGTGTTGGAGCTCTTCTCTTGCTGTATCACCTTCGAAGAAGAAGCAAGGCCTGAGGGAGGGGGAAGGCCGGGTTGTCTACAGAACTTTCTGGGTCTGGACGCTCATGCTTGGAATTGGGAGGGGAGTTGTGTTTTAGGGAATTGCCCTGGCAGCCTTGCCTCCAAGCCACCATTCTGATGTGCTTGGGAAGGGAAAGTGAGAATTGGGGGAAGGAAAAAACCCGTGGGTAGTAAGATGCACACAAACTCCTCCCCAAGCCCAGTTGAGAGCTGCTAGCCTGAAATCCCACTGAGAGATTTCTTCCATTTAAGAACTGACATCTCAGTTTTCTAGAGTAGGTGTTCTCTTCCTGCTCCTACAGCAGTTAATTTAAATGTAGCTTCGTCTCTTCACGTATATATTGGGTCTCATTTCTTCCCACTTTACAAGGGTTGGAACGGGTCTCATTCTTCTTTTAGCCAATGTTCCCTCAATCTCTTGCTCCTCCTTGAAGCTGTCTCTGAACAGTCAGCACCTTCCTGGCTTCTGCATTCTTCTCGAACACTCCTTGGCTCTGGGACACCTACAGCCACAGCCCATATCATGGTTTGGACCTTTTTAGGGCACATTCTTACACCTCGTCTCATGGAGCCCCATTTCCACGTGTCTTGGTAGTTGTTCTTCCAGACCTGGCTTGGATCTGTCCTTTCCCACAAAGCCACGTGGATTCCTTCCATCTGTCCTTGGGCTGCCTTGCAGCCTAGCCTCTTGTTGCCAGATGCCTGGGGTGTGAGGGTGGTCTGGGTCCTCTCAGGACTCAGCTGCTCTCTTGGCAGCAAATGCACTCAGATCTCTTCACCTGGCAGAAGCTTACTCATCATTTATGACTCCGCTACGATGTCACCTCCTCCTAGAAAGCTTCCTGGTCCCCCAAGTAGCACTAGCTACTCCTTCTTCTGTTAGCACAGTTATTTATTCATGCTTTTGTACTAGGACTCAAGGCATTGTTTTGTGAATACTCTGTTTATGTGGCCATTTTTCCTTCTGAAGTTCAAGTTCTTCAAAGACAGGGACAATGTATTTTTCATGTCATATCTCCAGGGCCTTGCATTCATGTTCAGGAGTGTTGAATGAGTTCCCAAACTGGAGACAGTCTTGAACTCCCATACTGCTCACAACTGGATTCTCTCCCTCCTTTTCTTACAGATGCCTTGTCTTGTTTTGCGTTGTCTTGTTTTGCCTTATAGCATATAAACTCTGAAAAGTGGGGTCTGTGTGTGACTTGTCCTAACTGCAGGGCTGCCATGTGTCTTTGTGCACAGTAGGTGCTTGGTAAACAGTTTAGGTCGGAACATTACTAGGGTTATCTTCAAATCAGAGAGAGATTGAGTCACAAAGAGCCTGCTGACTTGCTCCTGATCATGCAGTGGCTAGGCAGAGCTAGGGTAGTTTGGAGGAATGCTGTCTGTAGTCCCCAGGCTCTTTCATACACATTCTTCTGCTTTTCCTTTTTTTGATATTCCTCGTGACTTAGGAATGGGTCTGCACTGGAGCCCTTCCCAGTACCTTGCTGTTTTGTCTTACGCCCTGGCCCTCCCAGATGTCTACCCTGCAGATGGGTTTAAAACCCAGGCACCAGTGTCAAGGATGGTTTTTGTTAATCACTTATTTGTGCTTTTGCTCTCTGAAGTTGCCTTAACTTCTGCTCTTGCTCAGGCCTGCGGTGCCCCCTGGCCCTGTTCCTCTCCAGCTCCCGGTAGTACATGCCGTCTCTCTGTGTGGATCCCTGAGGAATGCGCCCTGTCTGCTATAGCGGCGGGATTTGGACTCACTTAATACTTCATTTCTTGGCTTGACCTCCTGTTGGGTATGGGTGTCAGGCTACTTTTCCTTTCCAGCTGAACTGCTGTGTGTCTGCCCTTAGAAGATCATGGTCTGTATTGATGTTGAGATCATAGAAGATGGATAAACACATGGGTGGTGGGGGAAGGTTAGGTCCTGGTTCACCAAGTTTAACTTGTATCATTATTATTAATTTGAGATGTGGGTCAAACATTGTAGGTACAAGGCAGGAAAATCTCATTGTCCTGATACTTGCAGAACAAAGTGATTTATCCGTTATCATCATCACTACCACCACTACCGTTCTCAGTGGGCTTACTGTGTGTCAGATGTACGGGTTACTTACTTGTATCATCTCAATCCTGGAGACAACCCAGTCCAATTGGCACTATTACTGTGCCTATTTTCCTGATGAGGAACTTGAAGCTTGGTGAGGTGAAGTGACTTGCCCAAGGCCACATACATCCAGGAAAAGTGGAGGGCCTGGAATTCAGACAGGGTCTGCCTGACTCCAGAGCCAGTGGATGAGTTTACCGCATTTGACCTCTGTGGGCACCACTGCATCTGTGCCTATTCTCTTTTCTGCTGAGAAAGCAGAGGGACCCAATGGGGCCCCTCCACACCCACTCGGTTCCCAGTGAGATTCTCCAGTGCCTTTGAACCTGAGGCAGTAGTAAAATACAGCTTCCTCCTACCCGCCCACCCCACTGCAGCCTAGAGGCCTCGAAACAAGCAGCCCCTGAAATGGGGATGAGGCCAGAAAGATGGCGAATTTGCAGGGCTGGGTTCTTGAACTTTGCTGGTGAGTAGCAGCGGTTCTGTGAGCCTTTTTGACCTCAAGATGAGAGAGGTGGGGCCTCTGGGAACTTTGGACCTGTCTGTGATTTCCAGGGGGTAATTTCTAGTAACACCTTTTAGGGTTTTCTTTGGCTGTTCCATTTTTGGGGCACATTGCATAGTGACAAGTTGTGCTGGCAGCCAAGTGACCTCTACCCTGGCTGTGAACAAGAGCAATTTATAATAAACAATAATTTCCCCCATTTGGCTTTAGCAGATGTTTACATGAAACTTCCTGAGACATTTGCAGGGAGACCAGGTTGTCATAGCCCCTTTTCTAAACTTGGCCACTTTCCCCTTCCTCTCAGTCTCTTGTGGCTGGTCACCTAGTATGTAGCCCAGCGGGACAGCTGTGCCATGCTGTAGCTCCCTGTCTGGGGCCAAGTAGGATGGGACTACCAGAGTGAATGAGCAGTCACCAATCCTGGTGCTTCTTGGTTGATCGGAAACTTGCTGGCAGTGACTAATGTGGAGACTCATTAGACTAGGAGGAACTGGCTTTGGTCTTAACCTCACCCACTGTTTACCTTTCTCTTGACTGTGTGAGTGGTGAGCTCATCCAGGCACCATCTCACAGTTCTTCCAGCAGGCATTTATTGAACACCTGATGTGCCTTGCTCTCTGGGGCCGAAGGGAAGGTATGGGAAAGAAGGCCCAGCCCCCTGGGTTTTACTGTATCGGCCAGAAGAGATGCATGTACATATCAAGCCCCAAGACCAATGCTTTAAGTGATACTCAGGGTGTTTCAAGTTCAGAGGAGTACATTACTTCCTTATTGCCACTGTAACAAATTCTGCAATCTTAGTGGCTTAAATCAACACACATTTGTTGTCTTAAAGTTCTGGAGATGAGAAGTCAGACTGGGTTTGCATGGCCGGGTTCCTTCTGCAGGATCCAGGGCAGAATTTGTTTCCTTGCCCTTCCTAGCTTCCCAGGCTGCCCGTATCCTTGGCTTGTGGCCCCTTCCTCCACCTTCAAAGCCAGCAGTGTAGCATCTTCCAGTCTCCTTCTCTCTGTCCCTCTGCTTTTATTGTGAAACTTCTGTGTGACCCTGACTCCTGCCAAATTCCCCTTATGAAGACCCTTATGTTCCCATCAGACCCACCTGGTCAATCCAGGATAATCTCCCATCTTAAGACCCTTGATTTGATCACATCTGCCTTCTATGTCCCTTTTGCCATATAAGGTGGCATTCATAGGTTGAGGGTCAGGCTGTAGATATCCTTGGGCGGGGGCGTGATTCAGCTTACAGTAGTGTGT